TTCCATGGGAAGCGCAACCAAATGCACATGGAGAGACAAGCTCCCTTCTCTCTTGTTTTCTCTCCTTACCAGCGGCGTCGGTTGTTTCGGCTCCTTTTCTTCTCGGCGAGAGCAGCGGCGGCGGCACGTTCCTGCGTCACGGAGTGTGGCGCATAAAACACAGAGAAAACATCGCCCAGTAGAGGCCGCAGCAATTCGCTGATATCCATCATGAGCTCAGCGCTTTGTTCCGTGACCCACACCTCTAGCAGGTACGCGCGCTCGCGTGCTTTGAGGGCCACGCCGTTGACGGTATCACGCACAGACCTCGACCACGACTCCCCAATGGTGCGGCACAACAAATACACCCACGCATCATTGATGCAATGGGAATCTAATTTCATCTTCAAAATGCCACCGTCACGATTGCCAGGGTCTTCCCACTTTGGATTGATCCCGTCACGAAAAAAGTACAGCGTGCCGATCTTCATTTCTGTCGGCTGAGGAATATTATTGAACACCTTCCAGAAGGTCGCAACGGAATCCACGCGAAACACAAGCGTTGGATCGTATGTGTTTTCCCGAATGCACTCGCCAAGCCCAGCAGGCAGGTAGAAGAGACACCACAAATCACCTAGTGTCATTTCGCCCGTCGCTGGCGTGAGAGAGAGCGGAGATGGCTTGGCGATCATCACGCGGTTCAACGTACGGCGTGGCACAAAAGCCGCCGCCCCAACTTTAAGTGAACTGCGTTTGCTAATCTCTAAAATCTCTTCCTCCGTTTTCTCAACATAAATCGGAGCAAAAGTCGGTGTAAAATTGGCCTTCACTGCCAGTGGCAAAGCTGGCTGTGTAATGTTTTTCCTCGTCGATGTGGTCGTCCATTTCACGCTGGATGATAAATGGCTCTCTTGCTTCTGTTGCCGTTCCTTTTCCTCCGCAAGATCAGCTGTCGACGTCGGCAGGGGAGCCAGCGAATTGGCACCAGTCAGATGTGGAACAAAGTCAGTTGCATTTGGATTCATGGAGATTGACACAGAAGGAAAGGGTGCGTGCATGGGACTCAAACGAGTTGGAAGACGAAGCGCTGTCGTTGGGCTGCACAAGGGCAGGCCAGCCGCCGCACGTGGGGAA